CAAGCGCAATCCTCTTCAGTGAATTTCTTTCTTATTCGTAACTTGTTTTAAAACCCAAATTTGCCAACTTGAATTCTTTTGAAATCTTCGTCTACCTTTCGATATCTTTTTACTCTCAGAACTCTCGTGTTTTTTGACATGCTCTGCAATCGTACTGCTTTGGCTCATTAGAGTTTGATAAGTTCATGTTTTCACTTACGTGGGTCCATTTTTTTTGTAGCAATCACAACAGATGACCATTAGCAAAAACGTGCATCTATTCTGCCATACGTATGTCAAACTTGCTTCTCGGGTTACTCTAGTTTATTCTTTAAGGTGGAACAAGGACATGTCCGAATTGGCCCAAAGCTCGTGACAGACCCAGCCTTTATCGTGACTAGAACCCAAGAGGATGCAATCACTTGGACGAATGCCAGTAAGATAAAACAGTATGTGCTTGACTACAACAATGTGCGTGATGATTTTGATCTCGCTTGATTATTGTCATTATTATTATTTTTTCCTACATTTATCATTGTTTGTTGTTGTTGTTTTTTTGGATCCATAAACAATCGGATTTGCAATATATCGTTATTAAAGCTTTTTTCCACATCTGTTTCCGAGCCCTCTTGAAAGAACGAGACTTGTTTGAAGAATCTTGCGCCCTGGAAGTTAGAAGATGTAATCATAAATTGTGATGAATAGATAATATTATGGCATAATTTACAGGTGATTAAGCATGCGCGTCTGCCTCAAGAGTTCTTAATGAATTTAAAAAAAGACTTCATTTTTTAATTTGACCAAACAATACTCATCAGGAGATCTTCTCCTAGGCCATCTCACTTAAAACAGTCACCTTTCAGTCTCATCTTAGCTCTTTCGTCGTTTGACTAAGTCGACAAGTTGGCGAAAATTGTGCAAAATGTGTTATCTCCTTTCTCAGAAAGTCTACATGAGTTTTGCTGTCAGACTTAACTCACATCGTCACTTTATTGTATTGTTGTGTTTATCAATCCCGTCTTGGTCTAGGTGGAAGCTTGTATATTTTGGTTTCTCGGCATGTTTCAATGTTCGCCGTAATCGATTCAGAAATTTCATCAAAGTTTGATCTGTCCTGTTTCGTAACTCTCAAATTCATCGCCGTCTTCTTCCT